CCTGCCGCCGACGGCGGAACCGTGATATCCGGCCGCCAGCTCCGCCCTTCCCTGCTTCTCGATAACTCATCCTCTGCGGTGATTGCTGAGGCGGTCACCGGCCGCAGGAAGAGGGAGATTCTCCGGCCGACGCGAGCTGCCGCTTCGTCCTCCGCCGAGGGTGGAGATTCCGCCGGGTAAGGTCCGTCTCCTCCGTTCTGACTCATCGGAGCGAGTCCCGGTGACTGACACGCCCGACTCGGTGTCTCTTTTATTTCGCAGAGCAGCAAAGGTCGGATTCTTCGACAAGTACCCGGCGCTTGTTACCGGCTTCTTCTTCTTCATGTGGTACGCGTCACTCGCTTCCATCCGCTCCTCTTCTCTTTACTATTCCTAAACCTGCGCAGGGGAGGCGCACGATAGCACTAGACCCTGACCATTTTAAAAAACCGTTACTGTTACCCGGTTTTACCGCCAAAAAAACTCGGCAAGCAAAGGATCTCTGAGCCAAGTTTTTAATTTACCGTTTTACCCTTTGATTTTTTCAGGTACTTCCTGAACGTGATATTCAACATCCTCAACAAGAAGATTTACAATTACTTCCCTTATCCCTAGTGAGTGACACTATTTTCTGCCTTTGCTCTTAATTACGTTATATGTGATTCTAATATATATATATATAATTGCATTTGATAGCCTATATTAGATTGATCATGATAATTGATATATGGATGCATATGCATATAATGCGATGGAACCATATTCTGTGTTGGACCAATGAGAATTGAAATTGCGGTCCTGCATAAAGATATATTCTTTTTGTTTGTTACAGCTTCGTATCGGTTATTCACTTGTTTGTTGGAGTCGTGTACTGCTTGGTGAGCTGGGCTGTGGGCCTTCCCAAACGGGCCGTAAGTAATTCTTTCCAAAGCCCACCTCCGTTGTATATATTCTTTTCCCTTTTCAATTTTATATTTTTTGTGTATGCATTTTTTTTAAAAAAAAATTATTCCAGTTTTTAACATGGCACTGTTTAGCTATGATTTGTGGTAGTTATAGGAAAAACGAGGAAACACATTTTCACATTTAGGAACAACTATTTTTTTTTCTTTCCATTTCATAGGTAAAACAATGCACATGAGTTCATACTAAAATGTAGGATGTTCGTTTCGGGTTTTGGTTTGGATATTTTCGGATTTGGTTATTTCGCTTTTAGAAAAATTATAACCATTCGATTTTTATATTGAATTCGGATTGGTTTTTTCGGTTCGATTTCGATTTTTATTGATAAAAATATTTATTGTTCAAGTATTTTTCATTTTTTTTATTTGATCCGGTTTTAGAGAAGTTGTAATAATTTCTTTTTTATATCAGATTCGGATCGATTACGATCATATGTTATTCGGTTTGGATCGGTTCATTTATTTGCTTTTTAACCAAATTTGTCACCCCAAAAAAATGGGTTCAAATGGTATGATAGTGATGAATTGTTCCTCTTTCGTATTCTTTATACTTAATTCTGAAGGGTTCTGGTATGGCTAATTAGCTGTTAATATGTTTAGCCAATAGACTCAAACCTTCTGAAGTTGCTGATACCAGTGGCTGTGTGTCACGGCATTGGCCATGTAACCAGCAACGTCTCATTCGCAGCCGTTGCCGTCTCCTTCACTCACACCATCAAAGGTACAATTCATCTATCGAGACGGATGGTAATATATATGGATCAATTCTTATGAAATGGGATGATTCTTCTTCTGAAATTGCAGCTCTCGAGCCGTTCTTCAACGCTTCCGCTTCGCAGTTCATACTTGGACAGTCCATCCCTATCACTTTGTGGCTTTCTCTGCTCCCTGTTGTCCTCGGTACCTACATTTCGATCCTTCCCTTATATTCTCGTGTTCGATGTTTTTGTTTCAACATCAGTTTGGTTAAACCCTTCATGCAGGAGTTTCCATGGCTTCCCTGACCGAGCTCTCATTCAACTGGACTGGTTTCATCAGCGCCATGATTTCCAACATCTCTTTCACTTACAGAAGCATCTATTCCAAGAAAGCCATGGTGGTTTCCTTCTTTAGAAATTAATGCTCTAGTCCTTGTTTCTATGTATAGCATATATATAACAAGTGCCGGATGTTTACTAATGTCCTTTTTCTCTCTCTGTCTTCTGAGACAGACTGACATGGACAGCACGAACGTGTATGCTTACATATCTATCATAGCCCTCTTCGTCTGCATCCCTCCCGCCATCATCGTAAGTAATGCTAAACCACTTTGAACTCTGCCTCTAAAAGATTCGGATTTTTATGATTTCAAGTAGGAACAAATGGACTCTCTTCATATGTAAGGTTGAAGGGCCTCAACTGCTGAAACACGGATTCAACGACGCAATCGCGAAAGTTGGAATGACCAAATTCATCTCAGATCTCTTCTGGGTGGGAATGTTTTACCATCTCTACAACCAGGTATTGCCATGCTCCTTCCTCCCAAACCGTGATGTCAACGTTTTTAACAGTGAACCTGAAATTTCGAAACTCATTTTTTTTTTGTAGCTGGCGACCAATACCTTGGAGAGGGTGGCACCGCTGACTCATGCGGTGGGGAACGTTCTGAAACGTGTTTTCGTGATCGGTTTCTCGATCATAATCTTCGGTACGCTATAATCCTATACGGCCTCTTCCCATATGGAATGGCTTTTTTACAAAGAGATCGACATTTTGGAAATTGGGTTTTGTTTTTTTGACGGTGGGAATGGAATGTGTTATGATGCAGGAAACAAGATATCTACTCAAACAGGAATAGGAACAGGCATAGCCATTGCTGGAGTTGCCATCTACTCCCTGATTAAGGCCAAGATGGAAGAAGAGAAACGGGTCTGTTCTTTCCAAAAAAAAATATGAAATAATATTCAGTTTTTATTATAATATATGATTTTGATATTAAATGAAGTATCATTTTGGTCTCATCACAGAAAGGAAAGGCCGCATAGAGAAAGGCAATGGAGGAGGGAGGGAGGAAGGAGCGATCTAATGGATATAAATAACAACAAAATGCAATGTTGTACTGTTATACCATTGTTTCTTTTTATATAATTTAATTTTGGCTTTTTGTTTTTTGAATAGAACCCCATGCATGGACCATCTCTTCTATTACAACTTCTAAATAATAATTATGTATTTATTTGCAATTCTGATTGTTGCTTGCCTTTGGCGTGCGCGCGCGCGCATATATATATATATATATATATTTGATAATCCGAAAGTTTATCTAAAAGATCGAGAAAGTCCAGTTCCTCTTCATATTTGGATTTGAATATAGGGTAAAAGAATGTTTTGTATATTCTCCTCCTGTTAGGCCACCTAAATTTAAATATATTTTTTTTGTACATGCCATTAAAGAGCTTTTCGGAGGTCTAACGTTTGCGTATCCGCAAATCACGGAAGCAAATTTTCGACAACTCTATTTGGTGTGGTGGGACACAAAATTTCCCTACTTGCTGCCTTTTTCATTACACTTTCTTACCAAACGTTCGGTGTTGTCTTCATTTGATTTGAAGTTTGTGTACTTTTCCCTTTTTCATTTTTCCTTTCAACTTAAATGCGAATCTTAGTTAAGGAAATAGTAGAAGATATAATATTTATAACTAATATACATCAAACACGTTTTTTCAAAAATATAATTATTGAATATATATATATATATATATATATATATATATATATATAACCAAAGGCCAAGATCTACTCCAACTTTTCTTCCCCAAAATGGCTCCATCACCAAAACTCACATCTCTTCTCTGCGTCATCTTCTTCATCATCATCGTCAACGTAAGTATATTCTCTCCACAAACCAAAGCAAGAAACATCCAAGGCTTCACCCAACTCAACGGCCAAAACCCAAATGGCTCCATGAAAGCAACAGAAGAAGACGACCAAGATCCTGTCTTTGTCCGACAAACTGGGAACGGATATGGCCTTTATCCCCATTACAGTTTCAGCAACGACGGCTCGGATGTTGAAGGGAACCCACATGAAGATAACGGCCAAGTGTTCGAACCTTAATTAAAACATATCCAGATTCGTTTGTTCAGATCTCAACGTGTATGCATTGATCGTTCGGCCTGTTGTGTTGATGTAATATTAGTCGAGTTTCATATTCTTTCTCTCGTCACTGATTTTCGTTCTCTATCTAATTTTCAGCTATAAAATATACTTTTTAATAAGTGTTTACAGACCGTTTCACATAAATTTACTCGAAATTTTATCTGATATAATCAAACCGACGATAGTGACACTAAAATTTTGCATTAGCGTTACAATCTTCTCGAAAAGATCCACAATGATATGATGAAAAAGAATGTACTTTGAGACCAACCATTTACGTGAAATGCAAAATGTGACAGAAATGATTTGAGAAAGAATCCAATACCATCCCGGTTTAGACCGGGTCGTCAAAATACACAACCGGACTCTGTTTTGATGTAAGCTAATGTTCAAATGGACGATGAATCATCGTCAATGTCGTCTCCGTTCCCTCGCAAGATTTCTGGACCATCGAGTTTCCTTTAAAGTCACTCTTCGATCTCTGTCTCTCTCGAAACGTTCCTTGTATTCTTCCAGAACATTCCAAAGCTCTGGTGGTTTCGGTTCAGGTAACGGTGCGCCGCCAACTGTAGTAACGTACTTGAGGCTCTTGTCCGAATCTTCAGCTTCCAAGTCGCTGCTTCCTGGGGAACAGATTCATGGCCGTTTGATTGGACTTGGGTTGTCAAAAGATTCGAAATTTCGAAATTCTTTGATTGGTCTCTATGGGAAGTGTGGTTTTTTCGGCTACGCGCGCAAACTGCTCGACGAAAGTCCTGAGCCGGATTTTGTTTCTTGGTCGGCCCTCATTTCGGGATATTCCCAGAACGGCTTCAGCCAAGAAGCTCTTAGGGCTTTTCAGGAGATGCATTGCCTCGGTCTCAGGAGCAACGAGTTCACTTTCCCAAGTGTTCTCAAGTCCTGCGCAGCTAACAAGGATTTGAAATTGGGGGTTCAGGTTCATGGGGTTACCATTGTTACTGGTTATGAATCTGATGAGTTCGTTGGGAACAGTTTGGTTGATATGTATGCAAAATGTGGAGAATTGGAGGCTTCGAGGAGGGTTTTCAATGAATTGCCTGAGAAGGGTGTGGTTTCTTGGAATGCTCTGCTTTCTTCCTATATGCAAAACGATTCTTGTGCTGAGGGAATTGATCTATTCCATGACATGGTGAATGCCGGAGTAAGGCCCAATGAGTTTAGTTTGTCTAGTATGATAAAAGCTTGCGCCGGGTTAGGAGACATTGGTGAAGGAAGGAAACTTCATGGATATCTAATAAAACTTGGGTACAATTCTGATCCCTACTCATCGAACGCACTCGTCAACATGTATGCCAAAGCCGGGAGCTTGGTAGATGCATTTCTTGTTTTCCAAGAAGTAGAGAGTCCTGATATTGTTTCTTGGAATACTATTCTGGCTGGTTCTGTTCTTCACGAGCATTATGAGCTGTCTCTGCATTTGTTTGTGCAGATGAGTAGATCGAAAACACGTCCCAACATGGTGACACTATCAAGTGCACTGAAAGCTCTTGCCAGGATTGGGTTTAAGGAATTGGGAAAGCAGTTTCATGCTCACCTTCTGAAGATGAACGCAATGGAATCTGATTCTTTCATCGGTGTCGGAATCATAGATATGTATTCAAAGTGCTTGATGACGGACGATGCTAGAAAGGTTTTTGAATTGATGCTAGAGAAGAAAATGGTTGCTTGGAACGCCATGATCTCTGGGTATTCACAAAAGGGAGAAGACTATGAAGCCGTTTTGCTCTTCCCTGAAATGCACAAGGAAGGGATGGGATTCAATCAAACCACTTTGTCAACAGTCCTAAAATCTGTAGCTGCTTTGCAGGCCAGTGGTCTTTCTGAACAGATCCATGCTCTCTCTCTAAAATCGGGTCTCATGTCTGATAATTACATTGTAAACAGCCTGATTGATGCATACGGGAAATCCGGAAAAGTAGAGATTGCAACTAAAGTTTTTGAGGAGAATCCTTCCCCCGATTTGGTGTCATTTACATCGGTGATCACAGCTTATTCTCAATATAGACAAGGGGAGGAAGCGATGAAGCTATACTTAGACATGCAACACCGGGGATTAAATCCAGATGCGTTTGTATGCAGCTCCCTTCTCAATGCATGTGCAAACCTGTCAGCGTATGAGCAAGGGAAACAAATTCATGTCCATGTGTTGAAGTTTGGATTCATATCAGATGGCTTCGCGGGTAACTCTCTCGTCAACATGTATGCAAAATGCGGTAGCATAGAGGATGCAGACCGAGCATTCTCTGAGATACCGGAGAGAGGAATTATCTCTTGGTCGGCTATGATTGGAGGATTAGCTCAACACGGGCATGGACAAAAGGCCCTTGAAATGTTTGAATTAATGCTCGAAGATGGAGTTGCACCAAACCACATAACTCTAGTAAGTGTACTCTCTGCCTGCAACCACACTGGGCTTGTATCCGAGGCAAAACGCTATTTCGAGTCAATGGAAAAACGTTTTGGCATCCAACCCACGCAAGAACACTATGCTTGCATGATTGATGTGTTAGGCAGAGCAGGGAAACTGATTGAGGCCATGGAAATGGTCGAGAAAATGCCCTTTGAACCCGATGCATCCGTCTGGGGAGCACTTCTTGGCACAGCTAAGCTACATAAGAACGTGGAACTCGGTCAACGCGCTGCGAAGAAGCTATTGATTCTTGAGCCGGAAAAATCGGGCACACACGTTCTTCTGGCAAACATATATGCGTCTGCTGGAATGTGGGAGAATGTAGCGAGAATGAGAAAGTTGATGAGAGAATTCCAAGTGAAGAAAGAACCGGGAGTGAGCTGGATTGAAGTCAAAGACAAAGTACACACGTTTATTGTCGGAGACAGAAGCCATCCGAGAACCGAAGAGATATACGCGAAGCTTGATGAGCTGAGAGAGCTTCTGAACAGGGCAGGGTATGTTCCAAAGGTGGAAACAGAGCTTCACGACGTGGACAGAAGCGAAAAGGAGAAGCTTTTGTTCTATCACAGCGAGAAATTGGCGGTGGCTTTCGGTCTGATCGTAACTCCTGCCGGAGCTCCGATCAGGGTCAAGAAGAATCTGAGAATCTGTGGCGATTGCCACACAGTGTTTAAGTTTGTGTCTGAGATTGTTTGTCGGGAAATTATAGTTAGAGATATCAACAGGTTTCATCACTTCAGAGATGGGTCATGCTCTTGTAGAGATTACTGGTGATTAGTAACGCACCAATCGAAAAGATTCTTTTATTTGCATTTTTTTTCTTGTATCATTCATGATATTGACATAAGATATTTCAATTGATCTCGTGTGCTGAACTTCACCATTCAAAACAAAAAAATTATTTTGTTTTCTAGTTATAGTTTCCAAAGTGAATACGGACCACGTAAATGCAACCAACCAAGCATGAGTTGTAACGTGTATGTAATAGAAATGGAAGAAATTACGGAATTATGCCAGATTTTTATTTTGTGTTTCCATCAGTTGTACATACAAAATCGCTGTTCTCTTCTAATATCTTGTCGTATTCACAGTAGATTGGAGGATTTCAGTCAACCGTATACACGTGGATGTGGACCAAAAAACCAGCCGTCGACCGATCTTTCATGAACTAAAACCTTGTTCTGGTTTCCTTGTCCTCATGCGTCAAGTGGTTATTTTCTCAGCTGCCAAACAGGGCTTTTTTCTTTGCACCTTTGTTGCCTATATATACACCCCAAGAATCATCTCTGGAGTTCCTCACAAGGGAAAAAGGAAAAAGAAAGACAAGGATATATTCGTAGTACTTTCTCCGGCATTTTTTGCGTTTTGACGGAATCAAGGACTTGAAGAAAAAACGAAGGGAGTCATGGTTAGAGAAGCGAGAAGATCGGAAAAAGCTGAGGTGGCGCCGGAGCCGGTGGTTTCTCACCGGAAATGTTCAGTCTCTCCAGCTCTGGATACGATTTTAGAAGAAGGGTGTGAAGATTTTCAAGATCACAGCATCCACCGACCTCTGCTTTATCTTTTTCCGGCGATCATTTCGGTAGTATCATGGATTTTGTTGTACGGACAAGAACTTGTCCGATTATGATCTTGAGTGAGTGAGTGAGATATAATATATTATATAGCAGGAGAGTTCGTTCTTTGAATTCCCTCTTTCTCGATTCACCATGGTTTGTTCATATGAAATACTTATCATCAGATACAAAACTAGATTCGATCTAAAAACATGTAGAGATCTGTCATAAAACTTCCACTAGAAACAAACAACATATATCCAATCTCCCTTCTTAGGACAAACCCCAACGGCATCTCATTTTTCCCTATCATATACAGCTCATGATGAGAACCACAAAAAAAACGAAAACAGCTCAAGAACCTATATATGAGACGAAATTCTTGTACAGCACCAAGTAAAAGAACATGGAGAGCACAAGAGGAAGAAAGATCACGATCCTCTTCGGCGCCCTAACAGCGAAACCGTCGCATCCCTCTTCGAAAATCGTCTCCAGCTTGGGCGAGCTGGAGAAATTCTGTTGCTGCTTGTGGTGATGTGAAGCAAGAAGCGACGGTGCTACCTCCCCCCACGTTTGAACAAACCTCATCTCCTTCACCATTTTCACACTGATCTTTCTGGGATTCACAGAGAAGGAAAATGGTGGAGTTTAGGGTGTTTCTTTTCCTGTGATTCGATGAGTGAGATATTATCAAAAGGGCCCTAGAGATGGATGTTTTCGGGGGGATGGAGGTAGTTTATATAGACGGAATAAAACCGCGTAAGGGTACAAACATGGAAAAGAAAATGCGAGAAAATTTGGTGATAAGGCAAGAAAAAAAAAAGAATGGACGATTTGCAGAGTGCCAAGGAAGCAAACTGTGAATCGTTTTGTTGTATTGCTAAACTTAGAAGTGCTAAAGATAGATCAATCCATCAAAACATATTTAGGGTTTTTGTTTTCTTCAGAGTCAACAAAGGTCAAAAGGCATACGTATTGTATAAACACTAGAAGACTATAATATCAAAACCCATATATGGTTTTTTTGTTACATGCATGGGAAAGATAATGACTCTATCTGGTCATATATTTAGAAAAATACAAAATAAAAGTACATCTCTGGATGCAAAATAATTTAATCTATTTTCTTATCGTGAAAATTTCTAAAACCAATTTTTTTTCATTTTTTTTTAACTACCAGGGAATAGATTTAAGGAAAATACGGACAATGAGGTAGAATAAGCAGCTTTTCATAGTTATGGACGATTAAGAAAAGAGAATATAAATATAGGGGTGAATTTGAAACGTTTGCGTTAGTGAAGGACTTGATAACGAAATAGTCTTTATTTTCCTCCTCCTCCAAAAAATTATTGTGTATATATAACTAGTAATTTCTTTAATGAAGATTCGCCGGAGTCCGGAGGAAGTTAAGCGGGATTGGATTTGATGGCGGAAGAAGAGAAGCAAACTCTGGCGGATTCTTCTCCGTCTCCTCCGACGAAATTCTCACCGCATTCCGATCCTCCGCCGCTGCCTCAATTCGATCCCAGTCGAAGTAATTCTCTCACTCGCTAATTTTCTGCGACAATTTCGTTTTGAATTGATATTTAGGGTTTTCTGTTTCCGTTCTCGGCTGGTGTGTTCTTGATTGATACGGTTATGCTGAGGAGGATCTAGCTGCTTCTCCGCCGTTATTATTGTGCCCAAAGCTTGCATTTATTTTATTTTCTTAAATTCCTAGAGAACCAAGTTCACATGTAAACTACGGATTCATAAACAGATTAGAGTTTAAATTGGATAAGATGGTGCTGTTGATGATTGCATATTATTACTGAAAAATGCAGTCAGAAAGTAGTTGTCCTGTGGGTTCTTATCTGAAAATCTGATCCCTTGTGTAAGGAAGAAATTGATCAGAACGCACGTTACCTCACTGGAATGATGTTTAAACTGCATCTAACATGGTGATTCGAGTATTTTTTATGAAGATTTTGAAGCGTTGTCTATCATTCTTGATGTTGCACCTGTTATGAACATTACTCTGTTTCTTGGTGTATCTCTCAATGATGACCCGAGTATAAATGACAGATGTTTTGTGGATGGATTACTTACTTTGCTTACAAGCACTGTTTTTTAGATGGTCCTAAGTCCTAACCCTTCATCCCAAAAGCATTCAGCATCTTCTCAGGCACTGAGTTGGATAACCGCTTCCGCCTTTGTGATGCCTTCCTTTCTTTTTTTTTCTTTTTTTTTTTTGTAATTGTGCCTTCCTTTCTTTTGATATATACTGATTGCCACAATTCTCTTCTTTCTAAGTGATTGGTATTATCAAAAGGAAGGCTTTGATCAAAGAGTTAGCTGCGGCCTACCACGCTGAGTGCCTTGCACACTGCCGAGAACTTCTGGAACTTCAAAAGAAAAAGGATGAGGTCAGAAACACTCGATTTCCCTGTTCTTTTTTTTTTAACCCTGAAACATAGTTTGCACCTGTTTTGTTCTGTCTTGATCGGGTGAGTGAGTGGGATGAATTCAGGTGGTTGACGGGTGACCGAGCTGTTGAGCTCATAGTTTGATCCTTTTCTTTCTTGTTTGATTTTGATCTTGCTTTTGCTTTTGCAGCCATTTCTCGAGACAAAATTCCCGGAAGATTCGAGAAAAGAGATATCAAGACCTTCGAAACGAGCAAAGAAAACCCGCTGAGCATCTTCCCGAATCCATCCACGGCTGCCTAGCAAAATTTCGTGCCTTGAGTGTGCCAGTCACCCCAGCTGCATACGCTACTCTTGCCTTGTTGTACCAATCTGTAATTAGCTTTTTCACTGATTAACGTCCTAACCAAATTTGGTCCAACGTTTTAATGCCTGCATTTTAGTATATCATAAATCCTCAGGTCTCGCTTCTACTGGCTTGGCATGGTCACTGATAACCCTCTCGTTGACTGAGAGGGGTTGACAATGGGCCATCGCAGAAAGTATTTGGGCCTAAAGTACGCATAGTCCGCGGGCCATATATCTGAATACTGCGAGCTGTGATTAATTTTCTGAAAATTATTATAAGTATCCCTTTATCTTAATAGTTATTTAAATCCTTTTTGGTTGTTTGTGCACAAGTCACCATCAGAAATATATTGAAAATATATATTTTTTTATAAAAAAAAATTAAACTTAATCTACGTCATAAACTTAATCTACGTATATTGGATTAAATTCAATTTAAATATAAAAATAATATGTCGGTATTGTTTTCATGAGAGTTTAGTTATAATTATGATGACTTGGTGATGTCGACAGCGTCAGCGTCCGTCTTCCTAACCTCGTTAGCTCGTTTAAACCATTAGTGTCGTTTTACAAAGATAAGTAGTTTGCGATTTCATGTTGTGGTCCTTCAGTAAACTTTGACCAGTAATGATTGGTCGCAAGATATAAATATGACCGATTGTTTTTAACCATTAAAATAAACTGTTTTTAATGACAATAATTAATTAGAGATAATCTAAGAATGGAAAGGTGTAATCAAAGCTTGGGGTTCATTCCATATGGAGCATATGTTTAGTTGACATTTTAATCATGAGTAATGGACCAACCAGATTCATTTGTGGTCCATAAAATAGGACATTTGCCTTCAATGCCCTCCTCGATTATGTGTAGGTGAGATCATAAAACTCACAGCTACTTGAGTAAGACCTTATATCATATATTTTACTACTTACTTAAAACAATATTTTCTATTAAAAAAACTTAAAATAATATTTTGTGAAAATTAAAATAATGTTTTGTAGAATGGTTTACACATTTAAAAAAAACAAATCAATTACGTACCATTTTCTTGAATTATTATGTAGTAGCACTAAAGACAAACCAACAACACCGCGGTCAAACAAAACTAACAAAATTCAAATATTCTAAGCCATTTAAATTTGAAAACAATATTTTTTGATGACTCGTGAGATGAATGAGATTGATTGATAACGCTGAAATGGAATACTAAAAGGATAAGGATGTGTATTGCCCTTTGTAGCTATCTCCTTATCTTATATATATATACACACACATATGCATATATATACACACGTGTGTGTGTGTGTGTGTTTGATGAGTAACCACGTCTAGAAATCTCAAAATAAAATAAATGTGTACATATACACCTTCATCAAAGTAATGAACCCAGGAAAAAAAAATGTAGATAGTTGTAGTCATTCGCTATAAAAACGAGCAAGTATATGCAGAGTTTGTCAACCATCCATGCCGGTCCTTTCAGAGTTTAATCGCATATATCTCATGTGATTACATAATAAATCTAACATCTATGGTTATATATGTAACATATATGTATGTATATGCGTACATGCGTGTATAATGTTGTCAAACGTCAGGAATCTGGATCCAGTATATATGTATCATGTGCACCTGCGCGTGTCTCTGCACATGTATTTATATTATATACATGCACGGATATGACTATATATACATCTAATTAGGCATGCTATGATGTATGGAATGCATACACACAATTTGGAGACGCATATTTAAATTCAAACGTACTTGAAGAAATTGTGTGTTGCGCACATTGGAACCTTAATCTATTGCAAGGGTAATTTAATATTTAATAGTCATTATATATAAAAAAAAATATCCTCCTTTTCCTATTTGAACTTCAATTCATACCATTTTTTACCGTGACTCTATGACATTTGTGATTAGAATTACAATCTGATCATATGTTGAACATAATAATCATAATTTATAATGTTTTTATCAAATAAATAGTGAAATATGCAAGAGATTAACATAATAAATTAGTGCGATCACCATAAAACTAACGTTGTGATCAATATGTGACCAAACTATAATTTTGATCACAGTAGTCACATGATCACAACTAGAGAAAAATATGTTTTGAAATCAAAATAACAAATAGATGATATTTTTTATATTAATGCCTCATTTAAAGCGCATATTATTACGAACAACATACTATATACCATTCGATCTATATATATAAAAAAAATCTTAGGTCAAAGCAAATACCCGTGAGAAAAATATTAAATACTTGATCAATTAAATCCTGCAATTTATATAAAATTGGATATAAAGGTCATATTTTGTTCTTAACTATTTTATTTTTATATTCGAATAATACCACAAAAAATTAAATCGCAAGTGTTGGTAATAACTTTTTATTTTTATTTTTTAAATATTTGTGAACTTATTAATATGGTGTTTTCAATTAACCTTTAAGAGTTAAAATACTTTAAATATTTTATAATTCTAGACGTTAGATAATTTTAAGTTTTTAAATCATTTTAAAATATAAATTTCAAAAATTCAAATTAGATACGCCAATTAAATATTATTTTTAATGCTAGGTCCATCGTTAATCCAACAAACTAAACGAATTTATAATGTATATTATATATAATATTTTTTAACAAATATTATTGTTAAGAAAACAATTAAATATTTTTTTCCCAAAAAAAAACTATTTTCGGAAAGAAATAAGTGAAAAAAAAGGAAGACGCCTTTTTCTTTCTTTTATTTTTTTTTTTATAAAAAAAGTAAGGATAAAAATCAACCAATAATTGAAAAGACTCGAATATTTCTGCAGGTACATAGTCGCAAAGACCAAATAATAGTAGTACCTTGCGCGATGAAAAGCTGGCTTCTAACATCACACCATCACATCAATGACTGTTACTGTTATCCACCAGTACACCATTACGAACCGAATCTACTACATAATCGATATTTTAAAATCAATCATATGAATGATTTTCATATATATGGACACCTACATATATATATATATATATATATATCATAATGCATTTTCAAATATTTCCGTGTTGCCTTGAGTATTTGATATATACGATTAATTAGTAGATTATGGATCATGTTTTTGGGATAAATCCGATTGTGGACGTACGCATAAGTTCATTTCTTTTCCTCTTTTTGAAACTATTATATCAAGTTAAACTGCCAAATGAAGAATATTAATTAGTTGGGTTATTCTAGTTAGTTTATTCATATAAATTATGTTTGTTTACATGCAGACTATCGACATTTTTTTTTATAAAAGACATTACAAATTAACATAGGTTTTCACGTAAATATATACTCTTATTATTTTGTAGAATCAGTACGAAATATCATCATTAGTCTTTTATCAATCACATTAAAAGAATTTATACTTTTATAGATTAGTAAACCGGAAATAAAAGCGAAAACTTAGAAATTATAAAAATGGACGAAAGGAAAACAAATAAGGAAAATAAAATTTGGGTGACCAAGAAGTGGACACGTGCAGTGGTCTGGTAAAGGCAACAGTAATCGAGAAGTCAGCTGATGTCCGTTAAGACATCGACACGTGGCCCTGTCTCCACTCTCGAGCCAATCGTGAACATGAACTCATCACCCCACTTGCTCCTTTTCCTTTGAAAAAAAAATCATAGAATTCCTCAAAATGTATTATTATTTTTTTGTTCTTTTTTTTTTTCACGTATTTTTTGTTATATTATTAAAAATTTTACCAAAAAAAATTAATGAGTAACAAGTCCTCACCAACCATTAAATTAAAACAATAACATCTGAATAAAATGTATTGGTTTTGTTTTCGGTTCATTTCAATTTCAGTTGGATTCATATTTTCAAATCATATGGAAAATGAAATATGATTAATTTAAGTTTAGTTTGATTTTTTTTACCTTGAATTTGATTATTCATATCGAAACAGTAACTGCAATTGAAACAAATAACATAATATAACTAAAAATTCATACTTGATATCTTTTTTGTTATAACTTGCATTAGATTTATCGATATTATTCATAATATTATAGTTGTATAAATTTATCCACCGATTGGTTGCTGATTACTTTATTTGATTTTATTCATGATCGAATAATCAATGGAGATATAAAATTTAACTTTGAATATATCAAGTATAATTGGATTTAGCAACTTTAGGAACTACCCACACTGCCCATTATATATATATATATATATAACACCCTACATACTCTTGTAGATGCTCGATTCGATATTGTGTTTCCATTTAAAAAACAATAAGTATTGTACGGAAAAGGTCATCTTAAAAAGAAGTTATTAATATTCACGATTCGGTTGAACTCAATAACGAATATATATATTAACAAATTCTATAATTGGTTCACCCACTCGCGATTAAAATATTATTACACATCACGTAATCAATCACGATATTTTGTATATAGATTAATAAACGCATATATATATATATATATATATATATATATATATGTGTGTGTGTGTGTGTGTGTAAACGTCCACAAATATTTGATGTATGTAATGTAAATGTATGTAATCTGATCATGCATGGACATATATAGCCTAAGTTTGAAAAATCAGTTAAACTATACATATTCAATTTATATATAGCTTTGTTAGTTTTAATTTAATTTTACAAAATTAGATGTAAATAGATACAAAAGAGAATGTGATGTATATATTTAAGTAAAGAAATAGTCATGACTACAAGATATTATTCGAAGCCGTAAATAAAAACTCCTTTATTGTTCGAGTAGTACTCTGTTATTTAGGTAGACGCGCAATATATGATATGGATTAAGCATGAGAGAAAAAATAAATAATGGATAAGGTAGAATTAAAATTTATGATTTTCATATTTAATCTCAAAGAAATATAAATGCTATTTAAATTTGTAAATTGATGGAATATATAAACTGATAGAAAAATCCACTACTTAACCCTATAATTAGTGATATTAACTTTATGTTAAGAATTAAAAATTGAATAGGAATTCGATTCGTGCAACAAAAAAAAAGAAGTCATATTTAAGTGTGATTATTTGCAAAAGAAAGTATGATTATTTTTAAAACGAATGGGTGACTCAATAATCCACCCTTTTAAAAAATAATGGAACGGATGATAATTCGGTGGCGTGTAAGTATATGATCTTTCCCACAACGATGCATGGCATCGCATGTACATATGTGTATCGTCATCTTGGCATCCCATGATGGTGATATATATGTGTATATATATATATATAGGTAAGAATACGGGGCAATTCCAGTAAAAAGTGGATAGAGGAAGGGTAAAAAGGGGAAAAGGCATAAACTGCGGGTTTTTGCCCAATCTCTGTCCCCCGCTCTCTCTCTCTCTTGGATCACTCCTTTAAATCAACATCGTCGAAATTCCAATTTTCTCGGATTTTCCTCCGCTTTCCTTCCCAGTTTCGCACCATCCAATCAACCCTAAAACCCTAGCCTTCTCCCGCCACCAGCTCGGCTCAACTCTCCTGTGTCTGTAAGTCTCGAATTCTCCTCACTCGAGCTTCAAACTTTTTTCTCGTTAATGGTTACTTCCTCGCATCCAGTAAACGAAATCTAAACCCTAGGAATGGAATCCAGAATCTCCGACATATTATTTCTAGTTTTAGAATTTTGATCTGAAGGACACTCCAGATCTACGAGTTCGTACTGTTATCCAGCAAAAGATGGAAATCGAAGAATTTGTGTTGCAAGAAAAAAGGCGAATTCAAACGAGAGGAAGGGATTTTTTTAGAAGAAAAATAGTTAGAGATTGACACCTGTTCACCAGACCCCAAAACTGCATAAAATCCTGCATACAGCAGTAATGATTCCTGAATATTTTAGTTTTTTTTCCTTGCTGGTAATCAAGAAGCAGGCGAATTGAATTTATTAATTATAGTCGTTCATAATAATTGGTGCATTTATTATTATTATTCACAATTATTAAAAATTCTACTAATTCTCGCAATAAATATCGATCTTCTATGGCTAAAACCTGAACTGTGTTTCTGCAATTTTGTCTGTTTATCTTTATTCCTGGGTTTGATCATCAGATTATGAAAGGTTCCGTTCAAATTTAGTTTATGATTCTTTCGTTTTTTTTTTCTGATTAGTTGGTGGGTATCCATAATTTTCTGCTGTTTCAATAAATCTTTAAATAAAAACCCTTTTCGACAAAAAAAAAAAACTATCGTTTTAAGCTGCAAGATAATAGATAACACAAACTGTGTCGGATCTAAAAAGAAGAGTGAGAATTCGAATCAAATGTAAGAATGAAAGTCAATACTGGAGAACTTTATGATCTCTGGAACCTAGTGTTAGTAGTATTTTTCAGAAGTTAGCTAAGTAGATATGTCTTGGAGCTATACTATAATAATTTAATTTATGTCTGTAGACGTCTATATTTTTTTCTTGTTAAATTTCATGAGATTATTAGTTCTTCTTGTTTCTTTTGCCCCTTTCTTGCAGGTTGTGGCTGCAAAATTTTCAGACAATGCTTTTGATGGCTCTGCAGCTGCAGAAAAGCTCAAACGAAGCTGTAGCTACTGACTTGGATGGTGAAATATCAAAACCCTAAATTAAACAAAAGCTTTTACCCCCCACTGGGCATTATCATCATCAATGCAATACAGTGGGGAAAATAACCCATATTTCTCTTTCTTTATATCTCAAGACTAGACCCACAAAAGAAAGCGGAAAAAGGAAGAAGAAAAAACCCTAAAGTTGAGATTTTTAATCTTTGGGTGTTGAAGAAAGAGGCATGAGATTGTTGCTATGGATACTGAGGATATCCAAATGTTCCCCAAATTCGATCGGTCCGGTGAAGAAGTGATTGGAGACCCTATGAAGAAGGATGGTAACAACCCTAAAGGTAACAATGGCGTCGTAGCCGCCGCCGGAGATGGAAACCGGCTGAGCCGGTGGCATCACCACTCTTCCCGGATAATTAGGGTTTCAAGAGCCTCAGGTGGGAAGGACAGACACAGCAAGGTCTGGACATCAAAGGGTCCCCGTGACCGTCGTGTCCGGTTATCGGTCTCCACGGCTCTTCAGTTCTACGACCTCCAAGATCGGTTAGGCTACGACCAACCGAGCAAGGCGGTCGAATGGCTGATTAAAGCTGCGGCCGACGCCATCGCCGAGCTTCCCTCTCTCAACGCCACTTTTCCGACCGAAGACGAGAGAATCGCCAGCAGCGAGAACGTCGTTGTCCAGAACCCGATCCCGAATCTGGAGCAGACAGCTTCTTTGTCTAAATCTGCTTGTAGCAGCAATTCCGACACGAGTAAGAACTCGGGTTTGTCTCTTTCCCGGTCGGAGCTCCGGGATAAGGCCCGGGAGAGAGCCAGAGAGAGAACGGCTAAGGAGAAGGAGAGTCACACTGTGAACGACAACAGCCATAGCCACGCTTCTTTCACTGAGCTGCTAACCGGCTCGGTTCACGCAGAATCGGAGACCGGTTCCGTCAACCCGAGCCGGCAATGGATGCATTCGCCGGCTCCAATGGAGTATTTCAATTCAGGTCTATTTCTGGGGTCAGGTCAAGCACAGTTCCCTATCCAGACACTGTCTATACCGTTCTCGTCAATATCTGATCAACATCACCATCACCGGCATCATCATCATCCTCATCGGGATATTTCCTTCGTTCCTGACCATCTGATCTCGCCAGGTGGCGGCGGATCCTTCAATCTTGACTTCAACATATCATCTTCCGCCATGGCTGGTTTCAATGGTCTCAACAGGGGGACCCTTCAGTCCAATTCTCAAAATCATCAACCATTCCTCGGTAATCTCCAGAGGTTTTCGTCCGACGGTGCACCGTTCTTCATCGGCGCACTGCCTGTAGAGAATCACAACGACAACACCAGTTTAAGCTTTACTATGAAAATGGATGCAGAAACCCAGAGCACAAGGGCAAAGGAAAGAGCTGACAACCCACTTTGAGTGCCCTCGTCGTTCAGACAGATTCCTGAACTCAGGTAAGCTTCTCTTTTAGTTTTCGTTGTCAACAAAAATAAATAAATAAATAAACAAATAAAAGCTCGCGATTTGATCTTCTTTTTTGGGTGTTGCTGTGTTTCTAGTTTTTTTTTTTTTAATTTGAGAGCCATCAAAGTCTTTCACATGGAGTTATCCCATTGTCAGAATATAGCTTTATTATATCATGGATAGTATTTATGCTAACTATTTGGATTCAAATTAATAAAAGATGGTATATGTAGTTTGCAAGTGGCATTAATTGTGTTAGCTAAAACATCTTGAGAGATAGACTTTATGAGGTAACAACAACAACTTGGAATTAATTAGAAATGCATGAACGAGATCCTTTATTGTTTCTGTTACCAATGTTTGTGGTGTCAACTGCTTATTTTGTGCCCTTTTAGTATCGCATGTCACTCCTAAATACTAACATGTTAGATGAAAATAAACGTCACGGGTCTGTTTCATTTCTTATCTATCCCTATATATATATATATATTTATGTAACTAATAGGATGTAAACGTGGTTATGCGGTTAAATCTGGATTTTAAAAATATTTGAGGGGAAAAGAAAAAGAACCTAGCAGCATGCATCAGATCCGTCCACTTTATTTGTTGTTAGGTGTGTTATTTCATAGAATTGTGATAGTACTATGTTAGTGTTTTCTTGGTTTTCATAAACAGGACTAGGTCTAAGACCAAGGCAATAGGCTATCCTTTTGAAGCATGCTTAGATTCAATCAAATCAAAATCTGCTATTATTATTATTTTTTGGGGGTTCTCAAATGAAAGAAGAATAATTTATGAAGTGAAAAGACATGAACCCTCAAAATGATAGCTTTTGTCTTTTATGTTTTGAATTCATATAATATGTATGAATAAAGAAAGGGTGTGGGGAGGATAGGATGGGCAGATTGTCTCCTGTTGTGCTCTCTCTTCGGTTCCCTTCTCCCTCGGCATCTGTCTCTCTTTCCTTTCCTTCAGCTCCTCTTGACAGCTGTTCTCTTTTTCATGGCTACTTCTCATCTCTTTCTATTATTCTTTTAAATATTATTGGGTTCCTTGATCTGCTGTGCCCACATGGCAAACCATTTATAGGGTACTACGTACTACTATTATATTCTTTCGTTCATAGTAACTTTTTTTTAAAGATTATGCGATTCTCTAGGGTTTGAGAGCTAAGCTTCTTGCAACACTTGTTTTGTCAATTCCTTTTTAGGGTAATCAATCATGTATCTCATGGAGTTTTATGAATTTACAAATGGGCAGGGAGTTGTATCCTTTGTTTTTTTTTTTTCTGAATTTGCGCTAAGATGCAACTCAAAACTATACTTCTTTCCTTTTTTTTTTTTGCAGAAAAGATGGAGCAGCATCCACCGGATTCAAATTAATGTGTGTGTGTATTCCGAGTTTTTGGCCTGAATCATTTGATTGGCATCTGTCATTTTGTTCATCAGTTTTACCCGTTCTAGGGAATATGTATATGAATCTGATACATGTGTGCTAAGCATGTGTGTCAAGGAGTACACTGTTTCCCAAAATGTTCATATACTTTTCTCGTTTCTTGGTTTCATTATCTTTTGGCGTTTGGATGTATCCGATTTTTCGCTTAAGAAATTCATCTCCAAATATCTGTAGAGACTCACGTTAAAATAGCCGTGAGATGCAGGTCGGTGTCCGACCAGTACAAGAAGCTTCAAAGTGCAGAGATTTCCGACCATAAACACATGTGAACGAGTGGTCGATAGCTGATAGACGAAAAGATAAAGCCGATCGGGAAATCCTAACGTTAATCTCCCAAAGAGCCGTTTTATTATGCTAAGCAAAGCAAGCCTTATGTACGACGGAAGAGGAAGATGGCTGCCTACAAACTCGCCGTTATTCCGAAAGAAAAATAGAACCGAATACAGACTAACCAGCTGCTCCTTTGCCGCATAGCTTGACACCTGAGAACCAAGAATCAAAATGAAACAAGTTTCCAATCTCTACTTTGGGTTTATGAACCAACAATACCTCCTTTCTTTTTTCAATTCATAGTACTAGTAGTGCAATATTATACTGTGGTGAGGGGCAATGCTACAAATCTCATATACATTACATGCCCTAAAGTTAAGTTCCTGTCTTGATGCCAGAGAGAATGATCTCGCATGTATAGAATCATTTCAAGTATTGGACAATAGGATCACGATGGTTTCCTATACAAACATAATGAGCTAATATTCGAGTAAAGTTCCAGACTTTATCATCTAAAAATCAGTACCCACAACTCTAGCAATTGCAAAATGGATATCCAAATCACCTCATCAATGGTTCCGACAGAACGACTTAAGCACACTACGGTAACCCCTTGTCTTGAACAGCATCTTGGCAGCTGTCCTGTAGGGCTCCTCGAACGCAGAATATACCCAAGGCGGACAAGGCGTCATCTTTTTCGCTTCCCGCGGCGCCATAGCAATCAAAGTGGCGCCTTTCAACACAGTTCCACCAGGTAATTCCAAGTGTGGAAGATACCACAGGTTCACGTTCATATCCGGCACAAGGGTCCTGTTCGAATCCGACAAGGGCTTCGCCCTCAGCTCCTCGAGTTGGCCCCTGTTCATACTTAGCACTCCTTGGCCTTCAGCGTCCGTGAACACTAGACTATCAAGCTTATGCTCAGCAACGATGAACGGCAGCATGCGCAGCCAGTCGTGCCGTGCCGATGCTGATCCGAAGGATTTCTTTGCCCAGACAGAACGCAGTCCCAGCTCTCCGCTAGTGCGAAGCGATTCCAGTATTCTGCCGGGATCCTCGATGCCCCTCGGATCCATGGTGATTTCCAAAGCATGAGAAATCCTCTCTGGGCTCGAGTGGATCACAGATGTAGCTCAGAGAATCACACATTTATCAAGGGTGGAACCGAATTCCGCCCTCCATTGCAAAAAAACCCCGTCGCCTAACTCCATATTTTTGCACAAGGGGGTCTCGATTCGAAGGTAGCGAATCGCTTTGAAAGTTTTAAGAAACTGGGTCATACAGAGACGAGAGGAAGACGGAGAGGCGCATGAGCGCTTGGTGCCAAGGAATTGGCCCACGGCCTGGAGAGGTTTGACAATGTCACCGACGACGCGACGGAAGATGGAGGAGAAAGGTCTCGCGGCGGCGGCGGCGGAGCAGTCGCAATGGGCAGCCCAGACGACGTAGTCGACCTGAGAAACGAGGGAATGAAACCTCTTGGAGACGACGCGGCAGCGGCCGAGTGCCTTGACGTGGCCGATCTTGTTGAACACGAAGATGACAACGGAATCAGGGAGTCGATCGAAGTGGTCGATGCCCTGGGGCTCGGAATGGATGCGAGAGGGCGGATCTGAACGTAGAAACACACCCATGGCTGGAGAGAAGTCTAGGGTTAGAGAGGAAGGAAATGGATCGGACTTGTGTGTTGTGGGGGAGAGAATTGTGTGGGCCGTAAATACCATTTAGAGCCTAACAAAAGCATATATCCAGTCCACCAAAAGAGGAGGTTCAATAATCACGGGATTTAATATTATTTGGTACGAAAAAGTGGACTTTCATTAGGGCCCACAATTTCCCTCTTGACCTCAATTTTTGCCGACCTGAAAGAGAACTTGTGGGCCCTCTCCCAAACATATTAACACGTCACAAACATGGATGTACCTTCACATATATACACACACACGCGCGTATATATATAGCATTGTATGCAAAATTGAAAAATCAACAAAATTATATTCCACCACACTAATAAATAGCAATAAAAGAGACAGTAAAAATTAAAAAAAAATATAGAATAAGTTCGGTTTCAGCATTCATGAAAGGAACATGAAATCGTAATAAACAGAGGAAACAGTCGAATTCAATACAAAAAACATTCTAATGACCATTATTAAACTGTAACATTTCCATGGCACTGAAAGCAGAAAGAAACTGAAACCAAACATTCTCAAGAAGTCATTTCCATAGCTTAAGCTTTAACTCTGAAGACTAGAAGCTACTAACATTGTCTCGGTTTTTGTAACTTACAAAAAAAAAATTATGTAAGAAAGTGATGGGGAATGTCTCATATACGTACCTACACGGTATTCACATACGGAAGAAGAAGAAGAAGACAGGAGGGTTTGAGTAAACTACATGAGAGAAGAGCATCTTACGATGACGTTCCTAGTTGTCGCTGTCCCTAAAAAGCATGTGCGCCTGAAAGTATAAAACAGCCAGCAGATGCAGTTTGCTGTCCCGACCAGTAGAAGAAGCTTCTTCAAAGTGCAGAGATTTCCGACCATCAAAACATGTTCCTGAGCGGTTGATAGTCCCACGGTGAACCCATCCAAGATTTGGTCACAATTAGGCAAAACTGGTTTTCTGATTCTCCATCCGATTTCTCTGTTTCTCCATAAGCTTATGTACTTATCCTCTTGCGCCGCCTGGATAGCCCTGAGAACCAAGAAAGGAGGACAACAATGAAGAAGTTTCCATTCCGTACTTTGGGTTTATGATCAAAGCTTTAACCAATAGCTCCGTTATACAATAAACTTAATCACAGTACTACTGCAACATGCTGTGACCAAGGGTAATGCTACAATTCATATACATGTCCTAAGTTAAGCTCCTCGTCTTGATGACAGAGCATGATGTTCTTGTATTGTATATAGGGTCATATCAAAACGCTATAGATGCTAGACAACAGGATCACAATGGTTCCTACACATACTTAATGAGGGGCAGAGCTAATCGAGTAAAGTTCCAGAATTTATCACCTAAAATCATTACCCACAACTCCAGCAATTCGGAACATTCCACAAATTCGACATTCAAATCACCTCGTGTGAACTTACCACTAGAACGAGTTCATCTCCAGACAGTAAGTCCTTCTCTTGACGAGCATCTTCGCAGCTGTCCCGTAGGGCTCCTCGAACGCAGAAGATACCCAAGACACATCACACACCTCCTTCTTCGATTCGCTCGGCCTTATCGCCACCAAGGTGGCGCCTTTCAATACAGTTCCATCAGGTAATTCCAAGTGTGGAGCATACCACAGCCTCATGTTCAGAGCCGGCACAAGGGTCCTCTTCGAAGCTGAAGAAGCCGACAAGGGTTTCACCCTCAGCTCCTCCAGCTGGTCCCTGTTCATACACAGCACTCCTTGGCCATCAGCGTCGGTGAGCACTAAACTATCAAGCGTCTTATGCTCCGCGATGATCGGCTGCAGCAAATAGTGCCGTGCCGATGCAGCAATCAAGGAGCTTATTGTCCAAACCACACGCAGCTTCAGCCCTCCGTTTGTGTAAAACGATTCCGGTATACTCCCGCTATCGTCGGTGCCACTCGAATCCACGGCGGTGTCCACGGCATGAGAAGTCTTCTCCGGGCTCGAGTGGATCACAGATGAAGCACCGAGAATCACACAATTATCGAGGGTGGAACCGAATTCCGCCCTCCATTTCAACAAAACCCCGTCGTCTATCCCCAATTCGCCGCTGGGAAGCTCGATTCGAAGGTAGCGAATCTCGTTAAAGTTTTTCAAAACCTGGGTCGGAGAGTGGTGGGTTACGCCGCCTTGTTCGATCTCGCCATCGTCGTCCCCACTAATAGAGAGATAAGAGGAAGACGCAGAGGCGCATGAGCGCTTGGTGCCAAGGAACTGGCCCAAGGCCTGGAGCGGCTTGACAATGCCACCGAATACGAGACGGAAGATGGCAGAGAAGGGTCCGGCGGAAACGGCGGCAGCAGATCGGGGCTTATCGGAAGAAGGGGAGGAGGAGTCGTCGTCGGAGATGACGCAATCGACACGGACAACGACGTTATCCACCTGAGGTACGAGGGAATGAAACCTCTTGGAGACGACGCAGCAGCGGCCGAGGGCCTTGACGTCGCCGATCTTGTTGAAGACGAGGAGGAAGATGGAATCGGGGAGGCGATCAAAGTGGTCGATGTCTAGGGTTTGGGGCTCGGGATGGATGCGAGAAGGCGGATCTGGACGGAGAATCACAGCCATGGAGGAGGGAAATCTAGGGTTAGAGAGGAAGGGAAGGGATCAGAATCAGATCTCGAAAGAAGATAACGTATAGGGGGGAGGTTTCTGGAGAGAGAGAGAGAGAGAGAGAGAGAGAGAGAGAGAGAGATGGTGGAAAATGGATGGTGGGAGGAAATAGATCCACGGGTTTTTGTTTGTACTTCGAGAGAGACTGAGGGTAAGGGATATTAAGCGCGTACACAGGTAAGCGCGTGTGATGCGTGGACGAAAAATAGGGAAAACTAAAATGGCAATTTAAATTAAAAAAATAACATTTTGTTTCAATATAATAATTAATATACTTAGGAAATGTACATTATATGGGATTTGTATTTTGTATTAATAAAAACGTTAGGTCAAATGCGATCATATCCCAGCCGGATTTAAATGCAATTTGATAAGGTTTTCTTCATTTAACGATGCCAAAATTAGACAATTTTGTATATTAAAGGTCGGACCATTCGCACACCATAGTGAAAAAATAAGCCGTGTAATTCTTAATTATGGACTGACCGATTCAAAAAGTCCAAATGGAGACCGATAAAAGCTCATATGATTATATAAACATTGGAAAAATTAATTTAAAAAACTTGGTTGCAGAGTCGTTTTTACATCAAAAGTCTTCCACTAATATAATTCATAAATTCTAAATTAGCTATTTGAGTATAAATGTTTATATTGGACCGTCTTCTATATGGTGTATTAAGCCCCTATGTCGTTACTCTTGGTTCTTCCGCCGCCTACCTAAGCTAGGTGACCTATCCAAGGGATTCCCAAACTATCTTCTTGGTAATGGGAAATATATATTTTTTTGGTTCGATCATTGGACCCCTTAGGGAGATTAATCGACACATTAGGTATGAATGGTCCAGCGGAGTTGGAAATCCCGAGGTTTGCTAGAGTTTCGTCAGTATATCATGATAAACGCTGGTTGATTCTGAATCCAAGATCCGATGTGCAAATAAGACTACTAGCTTATCTATTAGACATCTCTCCGTCTTTCGGCACCTTAGACACTTTCCAATGGGTAGTGGGCTCTAAACCGATGATGAGGTTTGACAGGAAACTCGTCTGGAACCAATATATCCTACGGTTGATCCGACTTCATGGTTCTCCATAATCTGGTTCAAAGGTCACATTCCAAAACACCCATTCATAGCTTAGGTTTTTATGTTGAGCCGCAATCCCACTAGAGACCGTCTTGTGGTTTGGAGAATTCAGGTAAATCCTAACTATCCCTTTTGTGATGAGTGTGCGGAATCACGAAACCATCTTCTTTTTTAATGTGATAACACACGTGCGCTATGGTTGTGAGTTTGCCGACGACTCAAGATGTTCCAATTACTCCTTTTGGATAGGATGATGCCTTGTCTTGGTTGAATGTCAGATGGGACAATAGCGTCTCTAGACATATTGTTCTTCTTACTTGGTAACCTGTGATCTATACCATTTAGACAAAACGTAGCACACGATCCACTCTTCTATTTACTCGGATGTAGATAATATATTTCAAGTCTACGATAAGACACTTTGTCATATAGAAGCCACTTTCTGGAACACTAAGCCGGATTTTGCGTCGGAATTACTACAACGGTGGTTTGGGTAACTATGAAGATGGTTTGGGGTTTGATACTTGATGTCTCCATTAATTTTGGCTTCTTTTTCTTCGAATTGATAGCATTTAGATCGAGAAAACATAGTATGAAAGTTCTTTTTGGTTATTTTGGCTTTTTTGGATTTTCAATCAGAGAAAAAAACAATATGTACAGTTTTGAAAATAAATGAAATACAAACTTTTGATTAAAAAAATGTATATTAAATAAAGCAAATTAAAATACTGAATATTTTAAGACAATTATTTTAAAAACAATGTAAAAGTGTAAAAAGAAGTAATATCATACAATGCCGTGTTTGTGCGTGGGCTTTCAAATAATAATCAAAGACGAATAGATAAGACAATTATATATTTCATTTTGTAAATGGTTACATATCCCATGATATTATTATTTTAGATATAAAAGATCTTCGAGTTAGCTGTACCACATGACTAGTTCGTTAGGCCATTGTGGAGAATGAATTGGATTTGCCTAATGATCTACAATGCTTATAAAACAATAACTATATGATAAAAAAAATATTATTCTAATCGGTAGCTTAATGTGATGAAAAATCGGATTCAATTTCATAATCAAAATCATGTTCCTAACCAACTTCTTCTGCACATTATTGTTATTTCTATTCGGACATCGAAACGCTTTGATTACAAGAAAATCAGACCGTAATTGTGGATAAAACTAGAGGACATGTATATATATATATATATTGATATTGGACATAACATGTGCAAAGTTCTGTTTTGTCATGGGGTTTCAAGATTCAGATCTGAACAAGAATCCGGGAGACTTAGCATGGAAGTGGAAGCTACCCACTGCTATCACACGTTGTGTCATGTGTTCATCCGCGAGTCGCACGCCGCGGCGTTTTCGCAGCCTGGACGAGTAAACGCCGTGCTGTCCATCCGTACGGGCCGAAAGTACATTTCAATGAAGACCGTTTTAGAGTGGAAATAAATATGTTATACAATATTATACGGACCTGCAGTGCATTCAGAGCATTTACTGCTGCTTTCTTTATTAATGAAAAAAATAGGGTATTTCATGTTAAACTTAGGAAAAAAGGAACGTAGATATGACTTGAAAACAAGGAAAATAAATATTATAAATGATCGGAAATATCTAAGTTTCTTCCCTCCAATAAATACTGTCACGTTAAAATTTCCAGAAAAATATAAATATCCAGCTAATACGTTTGTATTATGATTTTACAGATCATGTCCCATTGCGTTTGCTAAAATCCTTTATCATTATTGTTGTCCACAATTATTAATTTATTTTCTATTATTATTATTATTATTATTAGTATTATTATTATGATTTGTCATTGCAGATACATAATTGCCGAACCAACCAATTATTTGCATTTCATGTTTCCTTTGAGCACGTAGGGAACCCAAGCATATAATTAAACTTATGCATATGCATACGTACATACACCTCATGGAACATCACATATATGTATGTACATAACATATGTATGCATACATATACACATTGCCGATATATATATATACATGGACATAAGTGTCTGACAGTGAGAGTGCGAGTAATACGTAGCATCATGTGCGCGAGAATTCTGCATGCATTTGTACGATAAACGTTCGGCCTCAGGCACGTACTTGCGTGTACATACTAGTAGGTAATATAGATAGATTCATAATATGAAAATGTGAAGATAAATGCTTGAATTTAATACTTTCTGATAAATGCGTAACGAAAATAAATCATTAGTATCCGAAAATCAGAAAATATTTAATTCACGGACGTACGCACCTCCAATTAAATACTTTCTGATTTCTGTTACTAAACCGGTTATTTGAGTTCTTCAATTAACGCGGACTCCTACAAATAGAAACGGTAGCCGAAATTCTCCTACAAAGATTTAAACAAAACAAACAAGACACGACGGCAAGTCCGGTTTGGTAAAACCAAACAGGTGACGATCTCGTACCGGAAAGCAAAACCACTAACTAAAATTCTTCGACCTCCCAATACCAAAAAGCTTAAATCGGAATATATAAAATATGATAATAAATATGCTAATAAAAGAGCGCAAGTGTACGTTATTATGAATGCAACGTTGGAGAGAGAGAGAGAGAGAGAGAGAGAGAGAGAGAGAGAGAGAGAGAGAGAGAGAGAGATGGTGAGGAATAGAGTATGGGATCGTACAGAGTTTTTTTTTTGTGTGGAAGAAATGCATTAAGCGTAGAGGTTTCTCCCGCAACGATCGCATACATTGGGATGGGAAGAAGGGCTTCTTCTCCCGGCGTTAATCTTCTGAAGATTTGGCAGATCAACTTCAAGAACATCATGTAGAGCCTTGGAGCCTTGTCGGAGCTCATCCGAGCTGAAACTCAAAACATGTTACACTGTTCAGATCCCGACAGCTATGAGAAACTGGTTTGGCCTTTTGGCTACTGAGTTAATAATAACAATAGAACAGAGATTCCAAAGAGAATTTCGGTTATAACGCCATGAAATCTGACCACGATTAGCCTTTACCTTATGGAGAGTGGTGGAGTTAATCGGACGATGGTGTTGTGAGTTGGCTTAGCGAGAACTCCTCTTTCCTTCAAGCTTAGGCAGATGTCGTAAGCCGATACCGGAGATAAGGTTTCACTGTTGAACTCCACCGCGTTGAACAGTCCTCTTCCACGAACTTCCTCTATGTACTGTGGAAACTCTTTCTGGATTTCCCTCAGTTGGCCCCTCAATTCCTGCCCAAGACTCTCCGATCTATAGATTCCAGCAAACAAGAAACGTTAACACACTAAAACGACAACTTGCATCGGGTTTGGAGAATCAGATTCTTTACAAGCCGACAAACCCGCAAAAGCAACTTGCTTTGATTATAAAAGTGTACTATACCTCTCCACGAGTTTTTCGTCTTGAATGACGTCTAGTGAGGCCATAGCCACAGCACTTGCTAAAGGGTTTCCACCAAATGTGCTGAATTGGCAAACAGATCACAAAAAGAATGAGCTTTATCACAAAATGTTAAAAAAAACCCATCAAATTATGCATAAACATCATTTGCTTTATATATCTCAAGTATAAAGTCAAACAACCACAAGAACGTACGAAGAATGCAAAATTCGCTAGCAAGACAAAAACAACAACCACATCGTTCTCAGAGTACACTTTTATAGTAACTTGGATGGCAAAGAGACAATGAGAGCATTAGGTTTCAAGAAACAAAGCAAGGAAAGGAAAAACAAAAGGGAAGCCAACCTTCCGTGCTGGCCGGGTTGGATATGGAGCATTACGTCTTTGTCAGCAAGAACTGCACTCACTGGTATCACTCCTCCACCCAATGCCTTTCCCAATATCTTTGAAACATGTCCAAAAGCAAGAAGAAGTCATTCGTGATACATAATGTGTGTTCAAGACTTTTCTTTCTGGCTCAGACAAATTGACCAGATAGAAATCAACAGCAGAAGAGTAATGGTTTCTCAGATATAAAGTGACAGTAAAATGAGATGGGAGGTATAAAACGTTGACATACCACCATGTCGGGACGAACTTCCTCCCAGTCACAAGCAAGCATTTTTCCTGACCTCGCCAGCCCACTTTGTATTTCATCGGCTATCATCAGAACATTGTATTTCGAGCAGAGTTCTCTAACAGCTTTGAGGTAACCGTCCGGCGGAATTATGACCTAGCAAGCATTAATGTTTAGACAAGAAGACATTCCAGAACTATTAACCATGACATCTGGATCATCAAGTAAATTCACCTAAAAGCTTTAACTAAGTTATTTCATTATGAATGAGTTAACATGTGTCCAAGATTCAAACCGAGTTTCATTGCAATTGACATGGCTATAGCAGGAACAAATAGACAGACAAAAGTTGTTTATACTTTATATATACGGTGATAGATCCACTGGAAAAAAACGCATCTTATTATTTCCTCTGTATATAAGCACTCGAGGAAAAAGGAACTTACTCCAGCTTCTCCTTGAATAGGTTCGAAAAGAAATCCCGCTATTTTTTCTCCTTTTTCTGCAGTAAATACACCAATGGAGCGAAAACATATTTTACTCATAAACGCAAGCTTATCTATCACATGGATGAAACTCAGGGCAAAATCGAAAGGAGAAGAGATGCCAAGAAAAGGAATTATTCATACCCTTGAAGATTTTCTCAAGGGCAGCAGCATCGCCAAAATCAACCTTCAAATTACCAGGCAACAATGGTCCAAATCCACGAGTAGCATCATTGTCACAGCTCATGGAGATGACAGCCAATGTACGACCGTGAAAGCAGCCACAACAAGAGACAATTATGGCCTGTAAACTTCCCAACTTTTAGTTGATCTAAAGAGAATATTCCAATAAAATAGGGAAAAAAAGACAATTAAGCTGCACAAATGAATACTTAAAAAGATCTTACCTCATCTTTGGGTATATTTTTCTTCTCGTAACCCCATTTCCTTGCTAATTTCAGAGCAGTCTCCACACCTTCAGCGCCTGTGTTCATGGGAAGCACCATCTCGTAGCCAAACATATTTGTCAAACGCTCCGCAAATATCGGGAACTTATCATTATAAAAGGCCCTTGAGCTCAAAGTAAGCTTTTCCACCTGTTCTTGCAATGCCTTCATAATCTTAGGGTGGCAATGTCCCTGCAACAAGAAATCACAAAAACTTAAATCCCATGCGGTATATAGATGCATTCATATTGTCCTCCTTGAGAGAGAGGGAAGAAGAAAACAAACCAACTGTCATATCAAAAAACACACAATAAAAAAGAGTTGAACAGAACAGGTAACAAACTAAGCATAGTCAGAAATTTCATTTGAGAAAAATCTCTCAGCAAGTGAGTTCAAGGTTACCTGGTTAACTGCAGAGTAAGCAGCAAGAAAGTCGATGTATCTCTTTCC